CCCAGTCTCTCCCCAATTGCTACTTCTACAAATCCTGAGCAAACAGGGCAAAGAAGAGGGGATTCTCCGGCCCACTGGCCCTGAGGGAATGATGTTCAGTATTCTACTCTGTTCCAACCTCACCTGTCCCAGGGGGTGTGGGATGGGTCTGAAAATATGATCCACAAGGTTGATATTCCCATGAGGGACAAGGCCACCTCTCCAGGAAGCAAAGAAAACTCTGGTCAGGACAGGACAGCACAGGGTGCCCCATAGGAATCTGGGACAAAGGCAGCTCGGGTTCTCTGGATAAGAAGAGGGGGTGCCTGGCATGCGCTAGAGTGACGCATAGCCATGCCTGTGAGCACACCACCTGGAGGGGCAGTGTGAGCAGAAAGGCAGCAACACCGGCAGGAGGAGGTTGAGGGAGCCACGGCTGCTGCCCTATCCCGGGCTGAGAGTCTCCAACTATGGACCAGAAATGACAAAAACTGTACTAGGCAGAGATTTATTTGTACGATCATTTTTTTTTCTCCTGAAATATTCACAGGTCACAAAACTGCCTCTGGGCATTAGACCCAGGATTAAGACATCAATTAACTGAGGTCTGAATGCTCCACTGATTCAAATAGTAGCAAGGTAGGATGAAGTATTTCCAAAATCAGTCTCTAAGTATCAAAGTGCCACTGTGTCGAATGAAATTCACTGACAGGGCCAGGAATTCTACCTCTCCTGGAGAAAAATGTGCAGGGAATGGTTTTATGGGCAGAAGTTCAATACCACAGGACTCCTCCCTCCCCCGACCATCCCTTCCACATTCAGGAACGGCGTGATATAAAGGATAAAATCCAAGAACAGTAAGAGGACAGAAAAGAAAAGGGCTGGTTGGAATTACATATCCTCAGGAGGCTCAATCAATAAGTCCTGTCAAAGAAACCAGAGCCACGCTCAGCCGTGAGCTGATTGTGCTTGAGACCTAGCTGGGGACAGGCAGAAGCTGTCCCATATCCTCAAGTTCCCACAGCCCATCTCCTGACTTCTGGCACCCAGCAACTCCAGTTCTCTCTCTGCCCTGAGAATCCCATTTCTATTTGGCATTTCCGTTAAATGCTTACTCATTAGGAGACAAGGATGAGCAACCCCACTGGAATACTTCTCTCACACACGCCAAGAATCTAGGTCATCACTGACGTATCTTTTCTAATTTGGGACATGTTAGCCAGGATGTAGGGTCCTGGGGCACTTGTGCCCCTAAACCATTTGCGTTTACCATCTCCTGTATACACAGAAGGCAGGGAAGCAGAAATAGACATGTTACCCACTGCTCCCTAACTCATGCAGGACACTTTCATTCCGTGTAATTAACAGCTCTAAAACTGGTGTATGACTCAATTGAACACAGTCTCACTTAAAACCCAAGAAGGCAAAGGCAATTGCTGATATGGCTGTGCTTCTGTGGCGCTTCCAGAGGTACTCAGCCGGGACCCAAGTTGTCGAGCTATTGGACAGTACGAAGGCATCTCCTTTTATTTCCTACCCTACCTTCGGATCAATTTCATCCTCTGCAAAACAGCAAAGGAAAACCACGGCCTAAATTACGAAAGTGAGATGCTTGCTCTTATTAAGTTTCAACTTTTGACCTACACTTTCAAACTGTAATGCACAGCACAGGGAAAGCAATGATCAGTTATGATCTCATGTTTGTGGGGGAAGAGTATGATTATAGAGGAATTTACAGGAAATCAAAAAGGCACTGCTTGAGAGAATAGAAAACAATAAAACAGTCATACAAAGGAAATGAATGACACCCAAACAAAAATGAAAAAGTGAGTCTCACCGTGCTGGGAGAGGCTGCTTGCTGCCTCCTAATCAGACAGGCTCGGGGAGGAACCCCACGTTCCTGGCCAAGCGGCTAGCAGGGCACTGAGGTCCGTGTGGATGCTGAGGAAGCTCAGCCACTTGCGCCCTGCTCTCCAGCCCGGCTACACCATGGCCTCAGCCCAAGATCCATTCTGAGGGCTCCAAGCACCCTGTCCTTCCGGTGGCTGACACTTGGGCATGCCCCAGTCTCAAGGGTTCTCCTTTGAGCCAAAGGGGCCACATAAGATTCTGGAACCAACAACCTGGGCTCAATCGGCATCATTTCTTTTGCCAAGTCACTACCCTCTCTGTGCCTCAGTTTCCTCATCTGTAGCATGAGAATACTCAGAGAACCCACCTACTATACCAAACAAGAAAATTTCTTTCAATCAGGTAGCATGACCAGTACTTGGCACTGGCCTTTTGTTAACTGGGAGTCTCAACAGGTAATATTACTACGATGTGCCAGCATTTGACTCACGCCCTCATTCGGTCTTGCTCCACCCATGCATTCTGCAGGTGAGGAAACATAAGTTGGGTGAGTTATCACGTCCTCAGCATGAGGTATCACTACATCTCCATTTTGCAGATGACACAGCTGGGGCTCACAAAAACAAAACACATCCCAGGGATGCAGACTGGGGTTAGAACTTGGGGTGTGTCCAAGCTGCCAGTCTCCCCAGGCATCTTCCCTCCACAGAAAGGGAGAGGGTGGAGAGAGCATTCTTGACCCAGGGGCCAGTCACGTATGGTGATGTGCACACTCTGGCAGGCTGAGGCAGGAGGAGCACAAGTTTGAGCCCAGCTTAAGCAACTTTGTGAGACTCTGTCTCAAAGTCAAAAATAAAGAAAGGCTGGAGATTAGTATGGTATGAAGGCTACCTAGGTTCAATCCCCAGTATGAAAAAAGAGAAAGAAAGAGAGACCCAGGGGTCCAAAGATGAAACACCTAGTGATAATCTGACATCAGGAAAAGCCACCTGCTCTGGGAAATGACGGAGCTGTGCGCCACAGAACCTTCTCTCAGTTTCAAGCGGAGGGCCACCCGCAAGGCCTCAACAGCAGCCGCATCACCGTGGAGACCAGGACCCAAGCTATTAAAACATACCCCTGAGGCAGCAAGGACAATGTGACATTTCTGAAATCGTTCTACTGCCATCAAATGCCAAATAAGTCCTTTCTGCTGCCCGCCTTAATAAAGTTAAGAGGCAGTCTTATGAACGCTGGCTCCACCTCAAAGCCTCGGAAATGTCACGGAGTTAAAGCGCGCTTGCTCCAACGTGATGAGCTAATGGTTCATCCCTCTGGGACACAGTGCAGCGTGCAACCGCGCTGTCCATGACCTCCAGGGAGAAGTCACAGTGAGGCGATGTAAGTGCACCCAGGCCCATTCTGAGCACCAGGACTTCTTCTGCTCAGGGGAGGGGTGCTATGGAGAGGCCAGGCATTTGTTACTTTATACAAATAAGAAGTGACCACTAATTTAAAGACACAGCCCCACCTTCGAGGAGTGTATCGTCATGACAGCCCCTGGACCAGGGCCAGGACACCGACAGAGTGAGGGTGCCTCCTGGCCTCTATCTCTCCGGAGGATCAGGGCATATACCTGTCAACAGCTCTCAGATCTCTCACCCTCTTACTCAGCCTCCCACGGCAACTGCCTCAGACTTCACGCACCCCGGGTAAGTCCAAGATCTGCCTCACCCTCACGTCTGCCCTGCACCTAGTCCCTGCCTCAGTGATGCACCGCCCAGCTGCTCAGGACAAAGACCTACACTCACTGTCCCCTCAACACCAAGCTGGGTCCCGCTTGTAGTGTTCCCTCCCGCTCAGATCTGTCACACCACTCCCTCCATGGTCACTTGGACCCCTGCAACAGCCCTGTTACTCCTATACCTGCGTCTTTAATCAGAGGCCATGGAAATGCAAACCGTGTCCTCCTGATTCACCCTTTGAAAGATTCTCACGTTTCTAAAGTCTCCTAAGACTAAGTCAAAACCCACACTAAGACAAGCCTGGCCACTGCCCAAGTCTCTGACCCTTGGGTTCCACTCTCCTGGCTCCACCTGGCCACACAAGGCCACTGCCCTCCCTCTGGTCTCTTTGAACAAGTGCTCCCTTGGCCTGGACCACTGTCTCCTTCTAACTCCTGCATGTCCAACAGCCAACTATTCACATTCAGGTCACAGTGCGCTTCCCACGTCCCGAGGTTGGGTAGTTAGATCTCCATAAAGACAGGGCCAGACATGAGAGGTCCACACTTCTCCCATGGAAGTGATGGGGTGGCAAAGGCCCGCTTTGCCTTCATGTGAAGAGTGTTTGCCTTCACGATACAAATAGCCTAATAATAATATGTTTCTGTTGAGCATGGTGGTATATGCCTATAATCCCAGTACTCTCAAAGGCAGAAGCCAGAGGATCACAAATCTGAGCCCAGCCCAGACAATTTAGTGACGTAGTGAGAGCCTGTCTCCAAAAAAGGGGGAAACAGGTATAGAGGTGGGGATGAGTAGGGATGCAGCTAACTGTGAAGGCCCTGGGTTCAATCCCGAGTACCAGAAAAAGAAAAGAAAAGAAAGATGTTTAGCTGCTATAAAGAGCAATTCAATGGCTTAGGAAGAAAACTGGTGGCACGTCAGAGTTGGAGGGCCACTTCCGGGGCACGCAGAGGCCACGCCCTGCCCGAGAAGGCTTGCCCGTAGCTGCTGGACACTGCACTATAGGTAAGGGTTACCGAGGAAAGAAAGAAGGCAGCAAAAGAACATGTGTAACAGGAAGCCACACCTGCCACGATACTTCTGCAAGGTGAGGAAATGTGTTTACCTTTGTGGCAATGGGACTGTGTGTGATGTTTACTTCTATACTTTTACTATCGTTTATCTGAGTTGTATCTATCTGGATTATACACAGTAGGAGTTTTTGAAAGACTGAAAATACAGGGAATAATAAGTGAAATTTAATTAACAGTCAGGTGACTTGGGCCCTTTTGAAAAAAACAAACCAACAAAAGCCTCAAACAAAATAATGCTGGGGAAGGAGGTTCCAGGACTGGCTTTCTGAGTGTTCTGAGTGGCTCGCTGAGTGGCTGAGTGGGAACGGCCCGGACTCCCCCTCTAGGAGCTGAGCTCAACGAGCAGTTAAGGGGCCCACATCTCACTCACCATTCTACGATCTCTGGGTGAAGAATGGTGTTGTTGACACTGAACCTGCAGAGAGAAAATAAACCAAGCCCATTAGTTCAATGGTCTATTTCCTAGTAAGAAGTACCTCATTCAAGACATACACACCATGACCAAGAGAAATCTAAAATCTTTTTTTTGAGACAGCATCTTGCTAAGTTGCCCAGGCTGGGCTTAAACTTGGATCTTCCTGCCTCACCCTCCCGCAGTGTTGGAGTTATATGCATGTACCGCCATGCCCCAGCTTGCTCTCTGACCTTTTTAACTTCCTGACCCGCAGAAAGTCTGCTGCTCACCTACCACGGCCAACCTGGTGGCCCGGGCCAGGACTCCGAAGTGCAGCAAGTTGGGGCTTCTAGGTTGTAAACTACTATCCCCACCCTACACTGGCCAGACAGCAAAGCCTCTTCTGTCAAGTACATCAGCATATACACATACAGACTACAGACATGAGCACCAGAGAGGAAACAGAGAGAAAAAGGAACAGAAAGGCTATTTGAAAAAAAAAACAATCATGGCAGAAAACTTTACCAACTTGAAAAATACTAATCTACATATCCATAAAGCTCAATGAACTCCAAGTAGGGTAAATTCAAAGAGGTCCACACCTTAGACACAGCCTGTTCAAACTGTCAAAAGAACACAGACGGGAATACACACAAGAGGGAGTCCTTCAGACTGTAATGAAAGCACACTACCGAGTGCCTTGAATCCACAGCAAGAAAAAAAGGTCACTGAGAAAGGTAACCATATAGGCGACTGACTATAAAGACAGTATAAATAAATGTTTTATTTCTAGCTTCTTTTTTCTCTCATCTGACTTAAATGACAACTGCATAAAGTGGCCATTGCAAATCTGGGTTGATTAGCACAAAATGAATAAAGGTGCAACCTGTATCCAGAACAGCAAAAAAGGAAAGGAAGGAAATGGAGATACACTGGGACAAAGTTCTTGTATACTATTGAAATTAAGTTGATATTAACACAAATCAGATTTTTATAAGAGTAAGGGGTCAATAGTAATCCCTAGGGTAATTACTAAGAAAATAACTAAAACAGAAAGAAAAAATAAGATGGAAATCAAAATGGCACAATACAAGAAAAAAAAGAAAAGAAAAGAAAAACAAAAGAAAATAGTAAGGGAAATACTGAGGAGCAAAAATATGATTACAGAAAACTAACTTTTAAGTGGCAGAAGTGCTTCCATATTACTAATTACTTTGGATGTAAATGGATTAAGTTTTCCAAAGATTGGCAGAATTAAAAAAAAAATTTTTGAGACAAGGTCTCACTATGTGCAGCTCAAGCTGGCCTTGAACTCACAATGTAACCTAGGCAGGCTGGCCTCAAACTCATAGCAATCTGCCTGCCTCAGCCTTCTGAGTGCTGAGATTACAGACATGACACCACACCTGGCTGACAGAATGAATTTATACAATGACCTAACGATATGTTCTAAAAAGATACATTTTAGATTCAAGGCTTCCAATATGTTATGAAAGTGAAATGATGAGAAAAGACGTATTACACACACAGAACCCAAGAGGGAGCTGGAATAGCTCCCTTTGAACAACTAACATCACACAAACTTTTAAACAAACAATTTTACTAAAGACAGTGGGCATTTTATGATGCTACATGGATCAATCCATAAAAAAGATATATCAACCAACAACATGTGTATTTCATAACAGATCTACCAAATTTACAAAAATAAAAAGGATTATAAGTTATGATGAATACTGTATGGCAACAAACTGGATAAACTATTTGAAGTGGAGAAACTTCCAGAGACATAAACCATCAAACTGACATGAGAAACAGGAAATCTGAAAAGACTTATAAAAAGTAAAGAGACTAAGCCAGTAACTAAAAAACTCACAAAAAGCCCAAGACCAAGGTCTTTGCTAATGTGTTCTACCAAATGTTTAAACAAAGATAACATCAATTCTTCAAAACCTCTTTAAAAAACTGAAAAGGAAGAAATACTTTAAAACTCATTCTATGAGCTCAGCATTACCCTGATCCTAAAACTAGAGAAAAGAATCACAAGAAACTATAGAAATTGCTTATGAATAGAGACACAAAATCTCCCACCAAGCGCCCTGTGAATATAGACACAAACATTTATACCAAAATACAAGCAAATAAAATCCAGCAACATTTTTAAAAAGATCAAGTGGGATTTTTTAGGAATGTAAGATTGCTTCAACATAATGAAAATCAACCAACGTAACATGTCATATTAATAGAATATAGGACAAACCACATGATCATATCAGTAGACCAAAAAAAAAATATTTTTGACAAGACCCAACACCTTTCTATGCTAAAAACACCTAATGAACTTCGAAGAAAGAACTACTTCAATCTGACAAATATCATTTAGAAAAACACACAACTAACATGCTATCGTACCTTAATTGTGAGAGACTAAAAGCTTTCCTGAAGGTAAGAAAGGAAAAAAAAGATGAGGAACAAAGCAAGGATGTCTGCTCTGCTCTTAGGACCTCCAGTTAACATTGTACCAGAAGCTCTAATCAGAACAATCAGGCAAGAAAAAGAAATAAAAATAAAAATAAAAGGCATATAGATTGGAAAAGAAGTACAACTATCTCTATCTGTAGATCATATGAGTGGTAAACGGAAAACAGAAGGGCTGGGGATGCATAGAGCACTTGCCTAGCATTTGAACCCTATCAAAGCCTTGGGTTCAATATCCAGCATACAAAAACAAAGCAAACAAACAGAAAAGCCCTGGGTGATACACACACACACACACACACACACACACACATTAGTGCTAATTATTTATATATGATCAACATACAAAAATTGATTCTATTCTTATACACTAGCAAAATAATCTGAAATGACAATTCCATTTATAACATTAAAAAGAATAAAAGTCAATTTAACAAAACTGTAAGATTCATATACTGAAAACTATAAAACATCATTTTAAAAATTAGAGAAGACCTAAACAAATGGAATAATCACTATATTCATGGTGTGGAAGACTTAATATTCTTCTGACAACAATACTTCTCAAATGGCATCTTTATGGGAATTAACAAGCTGATCCCAAAATTCATATGGACATTCAAGGCACTCAGAATAGTCACAACAATCTTAAAAGAGAAAAACAAAACCGAAGGGTTGACATGTCTCAATTTAAAAATTCACTGTAAAGCTAATGAACTAAGATAGTATGGTAATGACATAAAGATAACGTAACAAAATTGTGGCTCCAAAACTAAACCGATATGTGTACAGACCTTTTTTATTTTGGTAAAACACATACAACACAAAATTTGTCCTTCCAACCATTTCTAAGTGGTTAGCTCACTAGCATTAAGCAGTCATACTGTGACACAACCATCACTACTACACAGCTCCAGAAGTTTCCATCATCCCACATGGAAATTCTCTCTATTAAACAAGAGCTCCCCACTCCCCATACCTGGTAATCACTATCTTATTTTATGTCTCCAAAAGCTGGACTATTTTAGGCACTTCATGGAAATAGAATTACACAAAATTTGTCCTTGACTTCTGCCAAGGGTTCCAAGACAGGCCAATGGGAAAGATGATCATTTCCATAAAAAGTGCAGAAACACCTGTGTGTCCACCTGAAAAAGAATGAAATTGGGTACCTGTCTAATGCAATATGCAAAAATGAACTCAAACTGGATCAAAGACCTACATGTAAGGACTAAAAATCTATAAAACTCTTGAAAGAAAACATGGGTATAAATCATTATGGTCTTGGATTAGACAATAGTTTCTCACGTATGTCACCTAAAAACAGTGGAAAACTGAATTTCATCAAAATTAAAAACATTTTGTATATCAAAGACCCTATCAATAACCAACACAACAAGAGAAAACCTTTTAAAATCATATAGGTCTGTAACCAGAATACATAAAGAATTCTGAACAATGAAAAAAAAAAGAACAAAGAACAATGAAAAGAGGCCAATAAGAAAATGTGCAAAGGATCTGAATAGAATTTTCTCCAAAGAAGATACAGAATGGCCTAACAGCAAAACGAAAGATGCTCAACATCACTAGTCATCAGAAAATGCAAATTATACAATAAGGTATTTCACAGCCATTTAGGTGGCTATAATACAACAAACAGATAACAGCAAGTGTTGGCAAGTCTGTAGAGATATTGCACACTCATAATGCACTGCTGTTAGGAATGTAAGCTGGTGTAGCTGCTTTGGAAAGTAGTTTGGCAGTTGCTCAAAAAGTCGGTTACCATATGACCCAACAATTTCACTCCTAGGGAAATGAAAGCATATGTTTATGCAAAAATTCCTACACCAACAATCATAGAGAAGATACTTATACCAGCCCAAAACTGTAGGTAATGAAGTGTTTATCAACTGATAAATAAACAGAATATATTAAGTATCCATAAAACAATATTTTTCCACCATTAAAATTAGGAAACTACCAATTCATGCTACAATATGGATGAACATTGAACATATGGTAAGTAAAAGAAGCCAGGCAGAAAGACGACATACTGAATTATTCTATCAAATGTCAGAACAGGTGAACCCATACAGATAAAAGATAGACTACTGGTTGCTTAGAGTCAGGGAAATGGAGGAATAGGAACTGGCTGCAAATAAGTATTGTAAATGAAATGATGGTTCCACAACTCTGTTAACAAGCAAAACCTATTCAATTGTACACTTTAAATGAGCAAATTGTATGGCATGTGAATTAGTTCCAATAAAACTATTTTTTAAAACTTACTGAACTGTGCAAAGATGGAATTTTATTTTACATGCAACTTTTATTTCAAAAAAGCTGATTTAGAAAAAAAAATGGACAGAACAGAAAGAAGAAATAGCTGGAGATTTTCACATTCCTCTTGCAGTGGTAAAACATGTAAACAGAGAAACTGAGAAAGATGTAGAAAATATGAGTACAGTTAAGCAACTTGACTTAACTGACATACACGGAACACTACAGCCAACAATCAGAACATATGCTCTCTTCAAGTATAC